GACCCAAGTAAATGCTTCACTCTTTCTGTTTAAGAGTTCATCCTTTTTGATAAGTACTTGTTTGTTTATTTGGCAGAAGTGCACTGAATTTTGGTATAATTACTTTGGAATTCTTGAGAGCAAAAATTAAAAATAATGGCAGTGGGCATGGGTCAAGCAAATAAATCTACCTTCTCACGAGAGACTTTGGTCTCCAAAGCAAAAGATTCTGTGAGAGGATAAGTTGGTCACGCACAGGCCAGACTGATATTAGGATGCCTGCCAACTGCCAGGAAAATTTCTGTGTGGCAGGAGACACCTGGTCATCGGTGGGACAACTAGGGCAAAGGCTGTCAGCCAGGAGGAAAATGTCCCATGAAAGGCACGCTGTCACTGTAAAACAAAACACAACTCTCAACCCTGAAAGCGCCCCCTTCAGGCTATTTGGGATTTTTTCTTTCGCTCTTAAAACCTGTGAGAAATGAGAATCCAGTCATGTAAATGCTCTAAGAGTGGTTCTTCTTCAGGGACCCCCGTCGACTTTATGTTAAAAAAAAAATTATAGTTTCACTTCATGTGCATTTTTGACTAAATGGACCAACCTCACTAAATATAATCTAGAACCTCAATGGCCATGATGCAAAACTCTCGATCTCCCCTAATTCGTTTTCCTCCAGACTATATTAGAAGACCAGGTAATAGAACTAAAGAGCCCGAATGGAATGGCTATTTTAATGGGTACCTAGAGGCTTCTAAACATTCAGGGTTCTAAAATTGTCTCTTTACAAAATACTAAGTTAATTGAAGCAAATAAAGGAGATTTAAAAGCATCCGGGGCCTCTTCCTCAGCCTCACCAGCCATGGTTCCCCTAATCCTTGATTCTACCTCCTCTCTATCTGTTTTTGCCCTATTCTAACCCCCTTCCTTTATCTGAACATCCTTCTTTAGTGTTAAAACCTTACAACTATGCCTATTAAGACTCCCTTTTAAAAGTAGGCTTTTCTGAGGATCCTGCTAAACCACTGATTTCTTACATCCTAGGGACCAAAGCTGAAAAAGCTAGAGTAAACGATTTTCCCAAGGTAATCAAGGGTCCTCATAGATCTGTTGAAGAATTCAATATTATAATTCAAACTTAACAACCAGGCTTCTCTGCTCTTTATCAATTAGTCCACATGCTTGCTGGAGAACACTTAATTAAATGATTTATAGTGGAAGGCTCAGTCAGTGGTATCTGAAGCTCACGGTCCTTGCTCGGGAACCTAGAGCAACATCCAGGAGAGAATAGGTAGTTAGCACGAAGCAGCCTGTGGCCAAGTGCATGTCATTAATGTGAAAGAAAAGAAGGTTTGGCTCATTTAAAAAGTTTTTTTTTTCCCCCAGAAAAAAACAATTATAGCAAAAATCCTTAAAATCCTTAAATGGAGAACAAGAGCATATATAACCACAACCGTGGTACTCTCACCGTCACCCACAGGAGCACGTGTTGTGGGCCCTGTGACCCCAAGATGAGCAGATCTGGGCTTTGGTCGAGCCTAGTTTGAGTGCTAGGAATCCATCCTGGGAATACATTCATGAAGCTTCATTTTCTTCTCCCGAAGAAGTCTGAGCTTCAAAGCCTCATGCATCAGCATCTTTGTCTCAGACCCAGATGGGGAGTCGTTTCTGAATAGACACCTGTGCCCCTCAGGCACAGCTGAAGGGAGGCGGAAAGGCCTTTCTACACTGGCCTGTAGGGTGCTGGACCGGCACCTGTCATCAAGTCCCCGGAAAGATGGGCAGGTGCTTCTGAGGCTGAATGTTAGAGTTAGGGCCCTTGCCCTGCCTTAAAAGTAGTGGGTGCAAAACTTCAGAAGCAGGTTAAGGAGCATGTTTAGGGAATGGCAAACTAGAACATTTCCGTTTCAGGGGCAGCTGGCAGATGGGATTCCAGATATTCTACAGTCTCTGCCACGAGGAGCAGTTGGCAGCTTCTTAAGTTAAAGTGAGGCTGAAAGCCCCACGGCTTTATCCAGAGTCACGATCATGATTCGGGAAATTTCACTTTCTCTTTTTGTATGCTGCCATCTGAGGCCGAGTCTAATTTCTCAGCCTCAGGAAGCCAGGGGCCACCTCTGTAAGTCTCAGGAGAAGAGCAGCATGAGTGTGTGGGGCCTCTAGGGAAGGACCCCGGCCTTGACCTCCAGACTCTGCTCCCTGGGGCCATCTGCACCAACCCTTAGAGTCAGAAGAAGACAGTCCCATTCTGCACAGAAAACTGAAGGCCAAGTCCTGGGTCCATGTCATGGCCACTGAGCAGGCAGGCAGGTAGGCCCAGACAGGAGGCTTCGGAGACACGGAATATCTTTGGTAGGGCAGGCCCCAAACTGTCGGGTTCCCTTCAGTGCTCAGGGAAATCAGCACTGGAATCCAGACTCTCTTTAGTAAAACAACGCCAGGCAGAGGTGCTAAGGATGGGGTTGCTGCAACGTAACGTGCAAAGGTCGGTACCTGGGATGATTCCATGCTGTCCCTAACAGTCCAGACCACCCGCACTCCTGATTTCACGCAAAGCTGAGTTCTTAGAGCTGGACTTCTGACCTTGCTTGCCAATTTTTAGGGTCCTGATTCATCTCTACAGAGCATCACCAGGGCTAGCCCCACTGCCTATGAGAGACTGCTTCTCTTTCCTTCGCCTGACACCACTGAAAGCTCGAGCATGGGAATGACCTGACCCCAAGTGACTATGAGGCAGTGGAATGTCCCTGAGCACCCTGGCATAGGGACGTGGGTGACCCGCAGGCATTTCTATGATCATAGTTCTGAGCTCGGACCTGCCCCGCAGACCACAGCTGCACGGCCACCCCTCTCCATCACCATACAGAGACAGCCGGAAAAGCCACTGCCTCGTTCTCTTTTTCCAGCTGTTGAAGCAAGTACGATCATGGCCCTGTAATCTTTTCACGGTTTCTCTTGAAGTCCTACTGACTCTTGTAGGAGATAAAGAGATTAGCTTCAAAGTAAGGCCATGCCTGGCTTCCGAGTGTCCTAGAATGACCCCATGCAGCGGACAAAGTACAAACTTCTGAAGGACAATCCCAGTGAGAATTATAGTATAAACAACACTAGCTACAATCATTTTTCTGAGGTTGCGTGTGTGTGTGTGTGTGTGTGTGTGTGTGTGTGTGTGTGTGTCTGGGTGTCTGCTTTGCTAATAAAGCAACTCTGGGCTCATTGCCCTTCCTGCCGATGATGCTCCATAACCTGAGGAATGCCACAGGAACATGTGAGGAAGAGGTTGAGAAGGAAAAGAAGCAAAAGGGCCTGTGCGATGAGGCCAGTGGCATGGAGCAAGGCCAGAGATTCATCTGGGGCCTCCAGAGCCCTCCCCCAGGCCATCCCATAGAAGTGGGCTGCGGAGAATCTCCGAATCCCAAGGGCTCCTCTCCAGCTCTTCGGCTCTGCTCAGCTCCTCGGGTAGAGGAGGCCTGAGGAGTCCCGGCTCTTGATGTTCATGGGAGGAACCCACAGCGCCTCAGCCGCTGTTTGGCCCTTAACCATTACAGACGGCAAGGTGACAGGCTCAACCCTCCCTCTCAAGCTCCCCTCGTCCCACGCTTGTTAACAAATGACGACTGTAGGAAAATATACGGTGACGTCAGACGCAGGCTGTACAAGGACAGGGAATGCTGGGAGATCCCTGTGCCCGCGGCCAACTTTGGGGGTCTTGGCGGAGGAGCCCCGCGTGGTATATACATGAGGGGTTCTCGGTGCTCCCCCCACCAATCCCCAAATGGCTGCTGCTCTTTTCTGGTAGTTTTCATCTTTTACAAATATCACAACAGTAAAAAATTAAAAATGAAGGGAACTACCCTTTAGACAGCATGCCCCCTCTTCCAAAATTGTGCAAAGACAGTTCGGATGCAGCTGCCATCTTGCAGGGCGATGGCACGCTCCTCTTCCCGTATCTTTTCCCAGACAGGGAATAAGAGGTTGTGTGCCTAAGCGACTGGTCCCACTTTGATTATGTCAGGAAAAGCCTACTTTTAAAGTTGTTGGTCATGTAGGTGTGTGTGGTGGGGGTGGCGTCCAGGGCAGGGTGGTCGGTTTTTGTCTTGGACTTTTTTTTTTTTAACGGCCCTCTCAGCTCGCTCCAAAAATCTCTCTCTCTGATTCTGGGGACTGGGGCCTCGATATTTCAAACAACTCCTGAGGAGACTGAGACGACCTTCTGGAAGTTAATATCCTGAGTATCTCAGAGAGCTGCTTCTCGATATTTGTCATTTTGGTGTTCAAGGCCTTGATGTCCTCCTTCAGCTCGTGTTTCACCTCCAGGACGGTGGCCTGCAGCGTCTGCTCGGGGATGGGGTAGAAAGAATGCTTGACCTCCGCCAAGATGGGGCTCCGGTCCTGGGGGCTCCTGGCCTCGCCGACGCTGTCCAGACGCAGGTCGCTTTTGGTGATGCCGCTGTCGCACGAGTCCGTCTTCTTCAGTGTGGCCTCCCCTGACGCCTTGGTCCTCTCGGGGAGTGTCTCCATGGACTCGGCCTTGGACACCTTGTTCCAGTCCTCGCCCTTCCCACAAGCATCTTTGAAGCGGGCCCAGCCTTTGCGCTTGGCACAGTCGCCCCCACTCGCCTTGGGGCCCAGGCACTCGGACCCGGGAGCGTGCAGCTTGGCGTGGTCCGACACCCCCGAGGGGCAGGCCGCCGGGAAGGACACGGGCGTGGCGGGGCTCTCGCGGACCGTGACCACGCTGGCCTTCACGAGGCTGTGGTTGGCCGAGGCGTGCTCCGCGAGGACGCTGCCCTTCTCCACGTCCAGGTCGTCCAGGTCCCGGACCCCCCTCTCGGCCGCCAGCCTGGCCTCTTTCTGCTGTCGGAACCTCTGGAAGAGCCGCCGGACGGGGTGATCCGGGGGCAAGATCAGGGGCGCCTCGTTCTTCCGTTTCCTGCGCTCCTCCTCTTCCCGCTTCACGTCGCTGATCTTCCGGAAGACGATCTGCGGTGAGACAGAGCGACACACTGTGTTATCGGGCCGCTCGGCCCCTCTGCCTGGCATAGCTTTGGGCTCGGCCCCTCTGCCTGGCATAGCTCTGGGCTTCCAGCCCCGGGCCCCAAGGGCTGAGGCTCACGTCCGTTCCCACCCCTGCAAGGCCTCCTGGGGCTTTTCTCAGCGACTGTCATCACTGCCTTTTCTTGACACTCTTCTCAGCTTTCCAACAGCAAGAAAGACTCTTGCCCTCGTCCTCTTCAAGAGAAATAAACCCCCAACCTCTCCACCCCCACATGCCAGAAGGCTGGAGGTACCAAATGGCCTTGTCTTGACCTCCGAGCTGGAGCCCCCTTTCACCCTCCCTGCGCACAGCGCAGCATCACCTGACGAGCTTTTCAAAGGTCATTTTTCTGACCCTGCCTTAGACCTACTGCATCTGAATCTTCAGACAGGAAGCCCTTGACTCTGTAACTTAAGAAACTCTCCAGGTGATATGATGCATGAAAGTTTGAGCACCTCTCGTCTCAATCACTCTCCAGGGCAAGAAAGTTCAGTCAAGTCCTCAGGCGGGGCTACCGCTCCGACTGCCATTGCCACGTGCAGACCTGGACCCTAAGTGAATGCGTTTAGCTGTGAGAAGGTAGAGCTGGTCTCACACAGAAGCCCTCCTTGTCCTCAAGGAGCTAATAGGAAAGAAAGGCCCATGATTTTGCACATGAGCTTGTCCTAACAATAACAAACACTGGACAGCGCTCTGCAGTTTGTAAGGGAGTTTAACGTTATTTCATGTATTCCTTATAATAGCACTAACAAGGTCATTGGGGCACGTATTATCCCCATTTTAGAGAAATGGAAAGCAAGGCTCAGAGTAGTTAAATGTCACATAACAGGTGTGTTTTCTATAGGGAGCTTATACCCAAGCCATTAAATCCCAGATCCATTAGATGCCCAGAAGGTACCTCCGGACGATGACAATGCTTCATGCGGAGGATGGACAGACGGCAATTACAGTCTCATGCATCTGGCTCTGAGGGCAGAGTAAGCTACATATCATAGAGCTTTCTCCTGGGTGGACATCTGAGTATGGGAGAGCCCTGTCATTTCCGGCTTATACTGTATGTGGCAGGTACTCTCAGGGACATGCTTGACGCATCCCGTATCTGAACTTGCAGGAAGCAACCTGCAGCAGGTCATCCTTTTTTAACGTAAATTGCTGGTTTGAGCTCAATGAGGAGTCCTGGAGAGAACTGTGGAAGGGACAGTAGTAATCGTGCATCACCGCAGTCTGGAAACCCCTGTGCCCTGGGCAGCCTCAGACCAACCCCGAACTGGTTCCAAGGACTTGCCACAGGACTCCCAGGTGTTGGGGAGGCACACGTGGTGGCATGCCAGGAGGATGGGCTTTGAGTTCAGAAATTGTCCCAGCTCAGCCACCTAGCTGTGTGACCTCAGACAGGTATCTTAACTTCTGAGTCTCAATTTCCCCCTTACGAAGTAGGAAGAAATCCCTACTTTTCTGACTTGGGGTAAAGCCAGCACAAGATTGCTTATGCAAAAGCACTGGCTCACTGCAGATGCTTGAAATGAATTCTCCTGCTGACACAGAAAAGGCAGAAGCCTTGAAAGGACATATTTTTTAACCTCTGGGTGCAGATGATACATAACTACATAACTTATCCTACCTTCTCCAGGAAGCTCCCAGCCCAGAGCTTTGTGATGGCACCACCCAGATTCTCAGATATGACCGACAAGACGGTCACTTTAAAGTGCCAATAAATACAGAGGAACCCAACAAACACTGAACTGCTTGATGCCAGCAATCAATCAGTAAGTCGCTGGCAGACTGGAGGCTCACACCTGTTATCTATCTTCTCCATCAAAGCTCCTGTCACTGGATGACTTTACACTTGGGTCAGTAATGGGTGGGTGGGGGCGGGGTGGAGCTGCCACTCCTCTTGCCACCTAGTTAAATCTTCAAGGCCTGTTACATGGTTCCCAGTGAGAGGGTGGCTTTCTGACCTCCACTGGGCAGTATTTCTCCAATCCCTGCCCTGCCCAGCTGTGAATTTATAACCCTGCCTCTGCTGGGCACCATCAGCCCCATCCAAACTGCTCCTGTAGTATAGCCTCTCAGTTGGCAGTTTCCCACCTCCATGCCGCTCATGGGGTTCTCTGTTCTGGGAAAGGCCCCTGCTCTCCACCAGGCATCCACATCCTCCTCACCCCAAGGCTCCACTCAAACAGCACCTCTGCCAGAACGCCTTCCCTGATTTCATGGAGCTCTAAGTTATCCTCCCAGCTCTAATAGACCTTACTGTATTCACTCACACCAGACTTCCTCTCTAATCACACTCTATCTTGTGTCCATTTATAGTAGAGATATAAAATATCGCCCCCCTAGCCCTTAGAGAAGGGAGGAGAGATGAAGGGACCAAGGAAGGAAGGTAAGACAGGGGAGGAATGAGAAAAAGAGGGAGGAAGGGAGAAAGTAATGTAGGAAGGAGGCAAGAGAATTAAAATGTTAATCAAGCCGCATTCAGAGAGGGCAATGTGCTGATCAGCCCTGCAGCCAGGCCCGGAGGACACCTTCAGAACAAAGGAAGATTTCTGCTGGGATTGTTAATGACCCATTCCTCACACCTGTGAAGGGGAAACAGGAACCAAGAGTCATTCCCTCTGGCTGAAACCATGGGGAACCTATGGATTAAAGGCCGGGAACTGCCAGCAGGCCTTTCACTCTACATATTCTTACCTTTTCACACTGCATATTCTTCATATCAAAGGAAACAGGAACTAAAGAATGACATGTAAGCTGAATTCCCTGAACACTCAGGGTCCCTCTCAGTGCCTTTACTGTCTCTCTCTGTCCCACGCACTCTCTGTCACTCTCTGTCTGTGGGGTGTGACCCCTTTTCTAATAAACTTTCCTTTTGACTCTAACTTTGGCGCGTGTTGAATTCTTTCTTCACTCTCGGTCAAAGGACCCTCCTCTTCTCTTGGTGCAGGGCTTGGTCTCCCGTCACGTGGGGAGATTTGCCCTGTCCTGCATAAAAATGATGACTGAATGAGAATGTGCATGTACCCAAAAGAGATGGTGGCTTTTAGAGCTGATTCCGGTTCCTGCCCTTTATTTTGTGGGACATCCGATTCTTAACAGTATCCCCCACTTTTTTTAATTGAGCTAGTATGAGTGGAGTTCCGTCCTTTGTAAGCAACAATTCTCAAACAAGATACCCGTTATTTACATCTTTACCTTATTCTCCCTGAAAGCCTAGCACAGTACTTTTCATGTCACATTGAATCTTTTACTTTAAAACAAATTATTATCTACTCTAAGAGAGCGGGGATTGTTCTATTCACCATTTCCAGCACTTAGAAAATGCCTGGTACCTAGGGGATTCTCAATAAATATTTGTGGACTAGATGAATAACTGAATGAATAACAGATAGATATGAGCTAATGAATCAATGGGAGAATGTCTTCAGTCTGGAAAGATGAAATCACAGAGATCATAATCAACATTATAAAGGGAGGGATTCGCTCAGAATACACACGGTCCTCTTACCAGTTACCGGAGGTCAAGTGCAGTCCTTGAGACTGGAAATGAGATGGTTTAAGACTAAAGGAAAGGACGTATCTCTTCAGATATTGAGGAGTCAACACAAAACTTATCCCAAGAGGTTGGACAGGGCAGCACACTGGTAGGTTAACAAGGGCTTAACATGCACTCATAGTGGACACTTGTGAGGGGAAGTGGTGGCTCCTCCTTGAAGAGCCGCACGTGCTCTTTGACCAAATGCCCCGTGGGTCAGAATCCTGGGCTGGGGTAGGCAGGGGGAGGGAGAAGGTTGGCCTGACAGAAGCGGCATGTTCAGGCGCTGTGGCCATGTCATGGAGGGCAGCTCATGGGCTGGGGCTCTCCTCTGGAAGATACTTGTGTGTCTGGGTCTGTGCCAACTCTTCTGAAGCTTTGCCTCTTGGCCTTTTCCACTGTGTCAGCCCAGCCTGCCCTGGGGCACCCTGTGTACCAAATGCAGCCATGCCTGCATGTCACTGGCTCATTCAATGGGCGGGTGAACCAGGGCAGAGCTTGCTGCCCCACTGAAGTGCCTGAGTCCTTTGAAAGCCAGAGTAAAACCAGAGGACACAGAGCTGATGTAGTCTGATGGCTTTGCTGATCTGGGGTCTAGAGCTCTGCTTACTAACTTCAGCTGCTTTTTGGAGAAGTTAGTCATGGACTCGGCCTCAGACGTAGCCACAACCAGGCATTTGGCTGAGGATTTTAGATCCAAGTGGGGAGGGGTGGCCACACGACCCACAACGATGAGGTCAGTATTGCCAGCACCAGCCACAGCAGCTCTTGTCTGCTCAGAGATGCTCCACAGTTCCCACACAGGAGTATGCCCAAGGAATGAGGGCCAGACCCCAAACCCCATAACCCGGGATGCTCTCTGCTCTCAATGGTCTCTAGCTGGAGGCCTGGGGAAGACTATTCGGCTTTTCCAAGTGTTCTGTGAGGTTTTTAACAGTGGTGTGAGGGGGAAAAGTTTTAAAATAAATTTGAGCCACATGACAATGTTAGATTGGTTGCTTTACTGCAGGACTTCTCAGAGCCTTAATATGCTAATGTGCTTTATGAGTGTCTACAAGGAAAATGCAGCAGGCAGCTTTTCTTAAACACTTTCCCCCAGATTCTCTCTTTGCAAAGAGTGGTATTTCCCAGAACCCCCTCTGGCAAACACTGAAATTACATCAGTGTGGGGGAATGGGATGCCCTCTGCCTTTGTGCATAGCCCTGATGGATGGGAAGGCAGTTTCCTACTCCACGTTCTAACAAAGTGGTGTCTCCCATCTCAAACCCTACCGCTGAGCCCCTGGAGTTTGGGGTGTGGGCTTCTCCACTGCACATGTACTACCCTTCTAGTGGATCAATAGACCCGAATCAATCTGAAGTCTGTGACGTGATTGATGAAGGTATATCATCAACTCTCCTGCCTCCAACCCG